TACTAAACGAACTTACCTTTAGCCGTAACGAGTTTTACTGTAGATAACATGGTAAAAACTTAATATAAAGCAAATAAGTTCTGACAGATACTGTTCGAGCTCTGAATTCAGACCCAGAGGAACGTGCGAACTAGATTACAGGGAATAAACTGGTGATAACTTGAAACAGTGACCAATGAGCCCAGAGCTTTTCGTCGTCCGAAGTTATTATTATAAATAACAGTTAATATTAATATGGTTTAATGTCCAGCGTGGAAAAGAGTTTTGCAAACACGCTGATATACGCTATACATTATCAATGCTCAAAATCTTATAGCTCCGTCTAAACGGAAACCTTTGTAGCAAGTGCAGTCGGTCCCTGAGGTAAGTCCAGATGTTCCTTACTATGGTCATCAACTGCTTTTATAAAGATAAAACGTGATTACCATAAACTTCAAATGGTTTACACCACATCAATTTTATTACAATAAATCCCGACGTTTTGGATCGAACTAGATTTATTTTCCGGGCACATCATACAAACACAATATACGAAGTTTAAATGCCGTGTATGTACTGTACAGTTATGTTAAGATATTGTCATTCGGTATTATGTAAAGGTTGAAAACACATCGAAGCGATAAAAAGCTAGAGACGCAAAATGTATATAGGCAAATAAACTAAAACAGTACTCTGCTGAACTTCCATATTGAAAACAAAGTAATGCTATTAATGAATCTAAAAAAATTCACCGCGAAGAAACACTGTATAATTATTAAAATAAACTTTAGCATCATGCTAGAAAAGTAGTACCTGCATAATCTTCGATTAACAGAGGTGTATACAATTGTTCCATAGATACAGCAGCTCTCTCTTACCCTAGTATTAGGTAAATCTCATTGGTAATATTTTAACAAAGCTGCATTACGTTTGAAGAAGCATACCTTTTACTATTAGAATGCTGGTAAACAAAGTAGGGAGCCTTTGCTCACAGTAAAAGAATAACTAACTGTAGAGTAGAGCAAAAAGACTATTAAAGAGCTTAATGATGGTCAAATCACTAAATAAGAAAGCTTTGACTGGCTATACTATTTTTAACGGCATTTACTTCAGAACACAAATATTAAACCTTATCGTTTCCAACTGAATGCCCCTGGACAGAAGACATAGTCAGCTTAAAAAAACCTCTGGAACACAGTGGTCAAAGTTTTAGTCACACAACAGCGACTTTCTTCGGGTATGAAACGAGGAAGTTCGCAGTTGAATCGAAAAACAGAAAGATTAACGAATTCATGGCGTAGAATCAAAATAAACTTTTGACATCATTACTAAATTTTGCACAAGTGAAATGGAAAGAGAACCCTAGTTCTTGCCATTTCTATACAAAGCGACAACCGACGTCGTTTCCACTGGTTATTTTGGCAAAGAGGATAAAACAGTATATTTATCAGTCTTTTGGACACCAGAGTCGAATAGATCGATAGAACATAAATGAAAACGCCATCAAAAAATCAAAAATATAAAAACTACATGATTAGCTAAAAAAGAAAGAGCAACGCTGGAGACGTGCCAGTTCTTACATACCATGTGCCCAAATTTTTCCACCACTAACTTAGCTATCTTTCACTCATTTAAACCGATACAGACAGGAACTAATGTGCCAACAGAATTTTACAAAAATGGTGTGAACAAATGGTAAAGTACAAATTTAACAAACGTAAGTTTACGCAAACATGTACACCATGGAATAATCGGCTTGTGCTTAGTAACTTTACTGTATAACGGCACAAGGAAAATTTGCTATACACGAAGCAAAATCTGGTCTGTCAAATGACCGAACGTAGGTCTCGGCGCGTATCCGACGTAACTTATTCTTCGAAACGGTGGTCACTGATTACAGCAGGGCATACTTAAATTGTGAAGAGGCTAACCAACTTTTGCAAACATTTTAACCTTTAAGAAGGCAAATGAAGTACAACACGAAACATCTGGAATATCGGTCAATTACTTGGCTGACCAGCTTTACGTGTTGGAAATCAGCTAACCAATTTTAAGCCGGCTTTTATTATATACAGCGTTACAGTCAGAAACTGAAAAAGC